CACCCAGCTTCATGGACTGCTTTATCATCATTACGCAGCAAGAGTGACCATGAACTCCCAATCTAATCTATCATCATAGAACTGTCAGTGACCCCATGTGACAAAGAGGAGGGGTTTTTAAGAATGAATTTTAATACTATGTGAGCTCATAGATAATATTAGGGGAGAAAACAGGATACAAAACAATATATATAACATTCCAGTTTTGTATGTATGTATCTGGTTATGTCAGAATCTTGGAAATAATTTTTATTTTCTTTGCATATACGCCTCTACATTTTCTAGTTGATACAGTTAATTCAGAATATTTTTATAATTAGAAAACAAGCTTGTTTTTAGAAGGGAAAAAAAAAAAAGACTTCCCAGAATTAACAAGAGGAGGAATGACCTTGATCCTCAGGAGCTACAACTTCAGTAAAGTCAGTTTATCTGCAACTTCCCCCTCCCCCTCCATCCTTGGGTTAAAAAATAACTTCTAAAATAGGGGAGGGGTGATTTTCTAACTAAATGTGAGGACTAACATTTATTGCCAACATAAACATACGTATACATTCTTACACTATTCTAAGTGTATGTGTTCTTGTTCGAACTGCATTATCCATCCTCAAGGACACAGTATTACCTTTTATTTCTTTGGTATCTCTAAAAGCACCTTGACCAGTACTTGATAACATCATTCGCTGACTGGTTGACTGGTTGACCTTGGCATCACTCATGTTTTATGCCCACGAAATGTACTAACATCTTGCCTCGTTTTGCTTTGGGTCCTCGAGGTAGTATTCCTTCCAAACTTACTACATGAAATTCAGCAGCTGAAATACAGGAGCCATTCACCAGAAAATGAGTTAGGCTTTCTCTGAGTTTGTGTGTGTGGCAAGATCCTAATGGAATTTTTTAAAATTTTGTTAGTTTTATGGAAATAGCAGTGGGAAGAGGCTATGTTGAAGCTCTTTGATTTGAGTGACCGCACTCAACCACACCAGTGTGTTTGGCAACTTTAGTAACTGACTTCTTGAAGGGAGGGATTTCATAAAGAGGATTTTCTTTCTGTGAGCTGGCTGTGAGAGTGATAAAACATGCTTGTGGGGCCATTCTGGTTTTGACTGTTTCTCGTGTCAGCCAAGACACCCACAGACAGGAATTGCAGTTCACTCTGTCCTCTCACTCAGATCCAGACTGACGGGGGAAGCAGGGAGGTGGAGCCCAGAATGTTGGATTTGAAAAAGTGAAAGTGAAAGTGTTAGTTGCTCAGTCGTGTCCAACTTTTTGCAACCCCGTGGACTGTAGCCTTCCAGGCTCCTCTGTCCACGGAATTCTTCAGGCAGATTCTTTACTGTTTGACCACCAGGGAAGGCCAATGTTGGGTTTACTATTAATATTTAACTTTATTGGGTGTATTTCACTGTATCACAAATTTTTATACTCTAGCACATCACAACACTCATGTAGTTTGAAATCATGCTCTCTTTGAAGCAGGGAGAAGACAGGAAAGAAAGAATGAATTGTTTTTCACAAAAGGGCAGTGAAAGTCTCTATCACTGTCCCTGACATACCTGAATGATTAATGTCCCTATTTGGGGAGTTGCGAGAGTTTAGTGAAAAAAGTCTTCCCTTCCTGGAAGGTTAATATTACACTGAGGAATGCTATCAAGGTGTTTATGGGTTACAGATTTGAACAGAGCCAGCATAGGGATATAAATAGCAAATATTGCCTATTTTGTTCAGTGAGGAGACTTTACATTCTAATAAACCAACTGTGATGGTTCATGGTAATGTTTTTCCTCATAATGGGGAAACCGTGATTATATGTGCCTGGCCATGGGGTACCCACAGTGAGGATCAGTTCAAGGAACCTCCCAAACTATGAAACAGTAGATCCAGGTCTTTCAGCACACTCACGCTTGTAATTCTTTTGAGCTTGCACTGGGGTGAGTGAAGAAATCAGAATGTGTACCGATTAGTGCAGAATCTAGGAACCAACACGAGAGAGAGGTATGTAGCACAGGTCCCAAGGGCCAAAACTGTTCCGGAGGATTCCACCTGAGAACTGGAAGTGAGAGACTTGCCCCCTGTCTTATCTGTTCTTACATTTGGTTATTGTTGAAGGATTATTTGTTGCCTTTTAGAAATTTTTATTTCTCTTAATAAAAATTTTGAGAGCTCATTATTGTGACATAACTTTACTTTTTTCTTATTTAGCCAATGTATATAAATTATATTGTCAAATATATTAATGTTAATTGTATAATTAATTCTCAGATTATATTGTGTAACAGACAAATATTAATTTAATCTTCATTATAATAACTCAATGAGATATAGGTACTACTTTTAATCCCATTTTACAGTTTAGAAAGCTGAAACACTGAGAGGCTCAATAATTTACCAAGACTACACAGTTGGTCAGGAGTCAAACTAGGATTTGAACCCAGGAAGTCTGACTAGCTTCAGAGTACTTATTCATCACCACTATTAAAATTCAGAAAAATATAAAGCCAAAGAAAGCCCCCCAGAGAGAACTAGAGAAATGTTGCCTTGCAATCTGCATATACATTTGTGGTGGTTTAGTCCCTCAGTCATAGCCAACTCTTTGTGACCCCATAGACTACAGCATGCCAGCCTCCCCTGTCCTTCACTATCTCCCAGAGTTTGCTCAAACTCATGTCCATGGAGTTGACGATGCCATCCAAACATCTCTGTCGCCCCCTTCTCCTCCTGCCATCAATCTTTCCCAGTATAAGAGTCTTTTCCAATGAGTTAGTTCTTCACATCAGGTGGCCAAACTATTGGAGCTTCAGTTTCATTATCAGTCCTTCCAGTGCATATTCAGGGTTGATTTCCTGTAGGATGGACTGGTTTGATCTCCTTGCAGTCCAAGGGATTCTCAAGGGTCTTCTCCAACACCACAGTTCAAAATCATCAATTCTTTGGAGCTCATCTTTCTTTATAGTCCAACTCTCACATCCTTACATGACTACTGGAAAAACCATAGCTTTGACTATATGGACCTTTGTTGGCCAAGTAATGTCTCTGCTCTTTAATATGCTGTCTAGCTTTGTCATAACTTTTCTTCCAAGGAGCAAGCATCTTTTAATTTCACCATTTGCAGTGAATTTGGAGCCCAAGAAGAATAAAAGCTGTCACTGTTTCTACTTTTCTCCCACCTATTTGCCGTGAAGTAATGGGACCAGATCTTAGTTTTCTGAATGTTGAGTTTTAAGCCAGCTTTTTCATTCTCCCCTTTCACTTTCATCCAGGGGCTCTTTAGTTCCTCTTTGCTTTCTGCCATTAAGGTAGTATTATCACCTGCATATCTGAGGTTATTGATATTTCTCCTGGTAATCTAGATTCCAACTTGTGCTTCATCCATCCTGGCATTTTGCATCCTGGCATTACTCTGCATATAAGTTGGATAAGCAGGGAGACAATATACAACCTTGAGGTAGTACTTTCCTAATTTTGAACCAGCCCATTGTTGCTTGTCTGATTCTAACTATTGCTTCTTGATCTACATACAGGTTTCTCAGGAGACAGATAAGGTAGTCTGATACTCCCATTTCTTTAAGAATTTTCCACACTTTTTTGTGATCCACACAGTCAAAGTCTTTAACATAGTCAATGAAGGAGAAATAGATGTTGTTTTTGAATTCCCTGCTTCTTCTTTGATCCAACGGATGTTGGCAATTTGATCTCTGGTTCCTCTGCCTTTTCTAAATCCACTTGTATATCTGAAATTTCTCATGAACAGTATGAAAAAAACTCCTTGTAAATATTGTTTTCATGGCTATTTAACATTCCCATTAGGTAAATATACCAGTCTTTTCTCCATCACTCTCTCATGGTTGGCTAGTTTGACTCCTCAGTTTTCTGTTATGACAACGAGCACTGTGATAACTGTGTCTGTGCAAGACTTATAATTTTCAAAATATACTTTTAGGATGCATCCTTGAAAGTGAAATTCCCCCGTCAAGAGGACACTTTCAGGTTCCACAGCTGAGTTTTCAAGTGGTTTTCAGAAGCCTATACTCCTTTGCAGGCTCTGCACACCACACACAGCTGCCTTGGTCACCAGTCTCAGTCCGGCACCAAGAATGAGTCTCAGAAATCTTTGCTAATGTGATAGGTAGAATATGGTATTATATCATTGTCTTGATTTTTATTGCTTTACTGACTAAAGGATTGTCAGTTTGACCATGTGTCTGTGTTAGTCGGTCAGGCATGTCTGACTCTTTGCAACTCCATGGACTGTAACCTACCAGGCTCTTCTGTCCATAGAATTCTCCAGGCAAGAATACTAGAGTGGGTAGCCATTCCCTTCTCCAGGGGATCTTCCCAAGCGAGGGATCGAACCTGGGTCTCTTGCATTGCAGGCAGAGTCTTTACCATCTGATCATATTAGTTGATAAATTATATGAGTATTTGAGTGGTCTGTTTGGGTCCTTTGCCCATCTGTCTGCTGAGTCCATGCAGAGGCCTTAGGGCATCAAAAAGAGAAAAGCCAGTAGTTTTTCTTTCTTTTTTCTCCTTCCTTGACATGGAATTTTGTTTTTTCCTAGTGTTTACTGCTAATGGATCTTCCCTTGTGGCTGAGCGGTAAAGAATCGATCTGCCAGTGCAAGAGACACAGGAGACGCGGGTTTGATCCCTGGGTCAGGAAGATGCCCCAGAGGAGGGCATGCCAACCCACTCCAGTACTCTTGCCAGGAAAATCCCCATGGACAGAGGAGCCTGGCAGGCTACAGTCCATTGGGTTGCAAAGAGTCAGACAGGACTGAAGCAACTGAGTGTGTGCGCGCATGCCCGTGTGTGTGCGCATGCACACACACAAACACACACACACTGCTAACATGAGTATAATCTTCCTCCCAAACCTCATAGGGAATTTTCTCTTGGTTCTATATAAAGTATACTACTGATTAGTTATAAAGGATATTATTTTGTTTTCTACAGTGACTATGGCCTGTTCATAAATCTATCCCTACTTCTGTCTTGAATTTCAGGATTTTATGGGCAACTACAGACATTCTGCCCCCCGAATTATCCTGACTCTCAAAGAACCATGCCACCCAGCAGTTCCTGCAGTGTGATGCCTTCCTTCGAGGACTGTGTGGTCCCCACTTCTGTGGGCCAGGCTGGCTTTGATGTTTTCCACAGAGCCTTCTCAACTCACTCGGGCATTACAGGTATGTTGGTATCTGTGACTTAGACACTCAGGCAGACTAGCAGGTGAGATCATGTGGGTTTCTCATGACCAGCCTGGACTAGACTTGACCTAGCACATGACTGCATCAAATCCTATCTAGTCCACCTGAGAAATGTCTTTCTTCTTCATCCTCCCCTCCAGCCTCCTCCAGCCCCACTTCCACCACCCTCACTCAGGTGCCATCATGTTTCTCCCAGACTTAAGCAACAGCCTTCCAACAAGTTTCCTTGAGTCAACTCCTTAACTTTCCCATTCTGCTCTCTGTGCTACCTGTAACCATTGCCTTCCAAAAATAAAGAAAAAAGTAAGGTGCTTTCCTGTTCAGATACATTCAGTAATTTCTAGTTGCCCTAGAGAATAAAGTTGACTGCAGCAAGGCATTCATAGTCCCCAGGAGTTGAGCCTGATCAGACTCCATGGACCTACCCTCCTTTCTCATGTATTTTCCTTATCTGTCTCCATACCTGCTCTGCACCTGAGCTTTGCCAACACACTTGGCCCCACATACCCCACTCTCTGTCTTTGCTCCCTGTTTCCTCCTACTAGAATGTTCTTTCTTTACCTCCCCTTCTATGATAATCCCATCCATTCTTAAATGACTCAACTTTTATATCACCTCTTTTTGAGGTCATCCTCACTCTTCCCTACAAAATTTTACTTTCATTGCTACTCAACCCATCTTTCATGCAAGTCCTGTTTTAGCCATCTGCCTGCACATTCAGCCACTTCTTCACCTAAGGAGCCTGAGGATGGGACCCGCTGAAAGGCCTTGCCCAGCACTGTGGGCTCCCCAGTCCATATTTGCTCCCTGCATGCCTGGCAAGTATGATGAAGCATCAGTTGATTTGTGCCCTCTTTCTTTTCCAGTGTATGATTTGCCTTCGGGTTCCTCAAGCCTCTTTGGGGAGACTCTTCGCAGTGGACCTGAAGATGCCACATTCTTACAGATCAGTGCTGTGGACCGCTGTCCTAGCCAGCTCTCCTCTGTCTATACTGAAGGCTAAAAACTCCCCTAGCCTCCACTGCTGCTGGCATCCAGAATCTTTTTGTTCCTTGTCACCTTTTGTTCTTATACTTTCGCAGACCCTAAGAAAAAGGATGTCAAGCAAATCAACTCAATATGCCACACCACAGATGTGTCTTTGGAGAGCAGGGCTGGATGGTCAGAGCTGGGATTTGTTGGTGTCTTTGCAACTGCTCCTTTTTCCCTCTGGATTTGCCAGTGACCAGCAGGACTGTCTTTTCAAAGAGAATTCAGAGTCTCACTACTGGATATCTGTTACTTCCCAATTGTCAACCTTCAAGGGACACCAGTGAGATTATGTGCATGTGAAAATGTAATTTGGAGATCACCCTTGCTGAAAACTCCAAATAAGGATGGACAACCCAGATTGCCAGCACAGTGAATTGCCTCACCCAAGAGCCAGGCGCAACAAGGGAAATCCACATCCAAGTCCAGCATGGGTTCGGCCCAGTTTCCCAGCACCAGCCTGGCATCCAGGGAGCTGGCTGCCTCTCTCCTCCTGGGTACTCCCATGCTAACCAATTGCTTTTCAGTGTTTTTCCAAAAGCAAAATGAGAAGGTTCTGTCAAGCACAGCCCCTTGAAAAGCTTGACACCTTGTTTTGTATTCCTGCAACCTATCTTAGTCCTTTGATTTTAAAGCCTTGTTATTTACATGTACTTTTAAAGGAAAAAATATTTAGAAGTCTGTTCTTTGGATGGAAATAATTATCTTAATCACCCCAGCTCCATACGTCTGGCCTCTGCTGTGGCTTGGCTTGGCCCCGCCTCATAGCTCCTGTGTGCACCAGGAATGTTCTGCAAAGGCTACCTGAGAGACATGGGGTCAGCCACCCCCTTCCCAGTGCTACCACAGAGACCCTCGTGTGTTGACTGTTAGTGACTCCACCTTGAGGACTTTATTCAAAGGAAAATTTCTCTTGACTGGTTCACCCATGGCCTCCACTCTGGTGCTCTGCCCAGAGACCTGCTAGAAGCTGTGAGAGCAGGGACACATGGAGGTGTGCTCCTGGCTTCTCTCAGAAAGCCAAACTAGAGGTGCCTGATGTCCAGTTACTTTGCACAGCCTCTGCTCCCTCTGTTAGGATCTCCCCTCACCAGTCTCTGTCGCTCCCTTGCCCTTCTCCTCCCTCTTCATTGCTCTCATCCTTTTTTTTGACTGTAGTTCAGACATACCCACCACCTGAGCAGGGTCTAGCCTAGGGCAGGTAGAGGAGACAGTTCTGGAAAGGTGGCCAAAAAGGAGCAACCGCTTTGTCTGAAACTCTGTTTTGAGGGCCTAGAATTTTCACAGAGCTCTTGGCCATTTTATCTCAAACCTGAATAGGAAGTCATTTTCTGTGACACCTTTTTGTTGCCGTTGTTTTATTGCTAAGTCATGCCCGACTCCTTGCTGCCCCAAGGACTATAGCCCTCCAGGCTCCTCTGTCCTCTGTGACACCTTTACCAAGCAATTAAAAAGGTCCCAAGTCCGATGACTATAAAAATTGCCAAACCCCCCAAAACCTGGTAAATTCTGACATCCCAGTACTATCACATCTCATGATTTCTTTTCTCTCTCTTTAAAAATGTTCTCTGAAGAAAAATGAAACAATGCTATTTGTCAAACTGGGATAATTACAATCTCCAACAAGACAATTAAACAGCTTGGTGTCAGACTTAGGATCTGGTGACAGTTTGTATCCTGACAGACGTGTCCTTCCAGTCTGCTGCACAGTCGGTAGTGTTCTGCCTGACTCAGGACTTCATTCCCACACGCAGTATGATCAGGCTAATAAAGAACCAAGCGCAGGGTCCGCTTTTACAGTGCTCTCAGTCAATCTCATTTCTCTGGATAGTGGGCTCTGATCTGAGAAGAGCCATCATGCAGACATCTGTGTCTGCGAAAGAGACAAGTTATTCACTTTACAAAAATCTGCTCTGCTGTATGAAAGGACGCATGTCAGACTTTTCTTTCCAAATGAGCTCTCAGACGCACACAAAGTCCCACCCTTCTGGCAGACTTGGTGGATTATGTCACCTGTGTCCTTTGCCACACCCTGCAGAGAAAGGGAAGTTGTGGTATGGTAGACAATCTATTCATTCTAAACCCAGAGCCTCTACAGGGAACTCAAAACACATTTCATTCATGTAATGAGGAAAAAGATGGAACGGTAAGGCAGTTACTGCAGTTGATGTTGTCAGCCTACTTGTGGCTTCTGGCTGTAATTTGACATGGAAACAGGGAAGGAGGACAAAGCCAGAAGAACCCCAGATACTCTGGCTGGAGGAGATGCTCCTGAGCATCTGTAGTCTCCCCGCTGGCCTCACTGAGGCCCAGGGGAGCCTGGGGGTGCCAGGCGGCAGCCACACCTGCAGGACCTCCTTCCCTGGCAGGAATTAGCAGAAGCAGGCCCAGTACCACCTGCAAGGCGGAGCGCCCCTCCTACTCCCTCCCCCATCCAGTGTTTCACCTTGGCTACAGGTTTGAGCTCAGGACCCCAGGACATGCCACTTCCAGTTTCCTTCTGGGTGACACGTGCTGGCCTTAGATTCCAGGATCTCACCTGACCTTTAAATTGATTCCTTGCTGCTTTCACATTGCACAAGATTTATATATGTTTTCATCATTATGTTTGTAACAGTAAAAGTGGAAACTTCAAAAGATCATTCCCTTCCATTTTCTAGTCTTTTTCCTCTTGATATATAACCATTTTCATAAACATCTGAACACAGATTGTCATTCCCCTTTAAAAAAAAAGAAGAAGCTGATGTTCATGAAAATACACACAGCCCAAAGCCGATTATCCTATTACATTAAAAAAAAAAAAAAATCAGCATGCCTAGAGATATTTTACTTGCTGCATTGTCTTAATTCCCTAAAGGGACTGCATCACAACGTAAGTTGTAATTTAGCCTGTGATCAGTGTTAAATATTAAATATTCTATATCCTGTAAGATATCTCCCATTACCCGCCCCCCCAAATTATTTAGGTGATTCTAAAATGGACAAAAGGTCATCAGTCAATCACAGCAAAGTTTCCACTGGTGAACCAGAGCTTTGGTGTTACTCTGTTGTTTTTAAATTAGCAGCTGTCAAGCACATTAGCATACTAGAAGAGAACCTCATCTTCAAGAACCTTGCCTCCCAGTTGCCTTGAATTTTGGGAATAGTGGTTAAAAATGTCCAATTTAATTATTTGGTATTTTATTTGACTGTTTTGACCATGTCATTGTAAAGCAGCATTTTTAACAGCACTTTTTGTTGGTGGTGTGGAATTTCTGCGGTTACATTTTTTTTTTTCCTTTGCAATGAGTAAAGCAAAAAAAAAAAAAACACTCATTGGAGAGATGGCAAGTGTAAAAAAGAGGAGATTTATTTTGCACAGACAGCAGAGCCTCCTGTGTAATGTTGCTGACATAAAGCACTTTGGGGGGAAAAGTGGAAATCTGTTTTCCATAAATCACACAGACTCTTGTACATAGTTATATACACTCACGTAGAGAAATGAACTGCATATATCATACTGGATATGGGGCTGATTTTACTCTAGGGGCACATCTGGTGCTTATTGTCATAAATCTTTTAAAGAATTAGGTACACTTTTTTCTATTAATATGTATAGTTTTGTGATTTGTCACAGTTATGTTTCATATAATCATAAGTTATTTTGTCTCGTTTCATGAAGTCCTTTTTTTATGTCAAAAGTAAAATGAAGGGATTGTGCACTTGGTACATAATAAAACTGGAAATAGAGGATGTGCCCACCTGCCTAAAATCCTCTTTCAGCATGTTGTTTTAAAACACAATGGCAGCAACCATTTTTTGTTTGTTTGTTTGTTTTATTTTGTTTAGTTTTTACCATCCGCTTCCCTTATATTGGGTCGGTAATTATAATTAAAAGCAGATGGGGATGGGGGAGGGAGTGTCCAAGGCCAGCTTTAAAATGCCGCATCGCTTTGGGCCAGAGCTGCAGCCTGGATTTAATTATAGATATGAGGACGAAATGGCAGTAAAAATGAATGTGTCTCTGAATCCTTTACATGTTGGGAGTGTCCATAAATAAAACATGAAGTTTTATTTCATCAGATTTAATTAAAGCTTTTATACATGTTTTATTGGTTATTCTATTAATCTGCTTCAAAAACTGGATAAATGTGTGCTGGTGTTTCGGGTCTATTTGTGCCTTTTCAATGTAGTGCTACATCATGACTCAGAAATGCCTCTCGTGCATGGTCCTCCAGGTGATGGCCATTGGAATGGGCCGTTTCTTCCCAGTTATCCTAACACCCTGCCAAGAAAGACACAGCATCAGCTTCCTAGTCTGTAAGTCCTCTGATTTCCTGAAGGAGAAAGGGGAGGTTGTCCTTTCCCCGATTCCTTGTCCTGTCTGATCTGCAGCCTCCGGGGAGCTGCCTGTCCCTCTGGCTGTGATGAGCTTCTGTCCCTAGCTCCCATCCACAGGAGACGGGAGAGGGGGAAAGAGCAGTCAGGAAGCTCGCACAACTGACTGACCAGTGGGCCAAGCACAGCACTCTAAAAGACATCACTTTATCTCAAGGACCATTCTTAGGATGTTGATAGTTTTCTCACAGAAATTTTAAGACTTGAAGATTCTGTTAATGGGAGATACAAAGCCGAAGGGATGATGGCTCCCAGGCACCTCGTCTGGTTCTTCAAGGTGCTGGGGGAACGGGCAGCAAACTCACGTGGTTCAGGGTTTAGAGGTGGAAATAGTGCTGACTGACAAGACACAGGGAGTCTGCTCCTTGAAGGGAGGCAGCTGGCGAGAGGGTGATTTGGTCCAGTCTTTTAGGAGGACAGGGTGGCATTAACTGGTAGAGTTAAAGATACACATACCCTCCACTCCAGCTATTCCGTTCCTCTCTTGGGAGTCAATAACGGTTCAGATACACGATGTTGAATGCCGTCCACAATAGCCAAACACTGGAAATGACACAACTGTCCACCAACAGTGGAAAGAAGTGAACTGTGCTCAAG